GGTCTCCGAATTTAATAAATTATTTAATGTGCAATTATTTTAACGTCGTGTACTCTTTTTAATTGTATATACATGCACTAACGTCTTTTTTAATTTATCAGTATGATATTATCCATCTACATTAATAGATGCACGTACTTATAGAAATAACAATGCTTATGCTGCACCATTTAACGAAAATTACAGCAGTCTGCTCCACTTTATTTTCTTTGATTCGTTGCAGTTTCCTTTGCCTCTGTTCTAGTTTATAAATTAAAAAAGCGAAACTTCCCAACATTCTCACTGACAACATCATAATCCCCCTGTGGGACAGCGGTAAGTCTTCAGATTTACAATGCTAAAATCATGAATTTGATTACCCTTGGTGGACACAGCAGATAGCCTGATGTGTCTTTGCTATAACAAAAAAACATATTTGCCCCCAGTGGCTCAATGGTATGTCTGTGGACTTACAATGCTAGAAACCAGGTTTCAATACCAGTGGTGGGCAGAGCACAAATAGCCCATTGTGTAGCTTTATGTATAACAGCAACAAACAAACACGTGGATGTGGGCCTATTAGATACAAATAAGTAATCATAATTAATTTTGTTTTAAAAAAATTTGGTTATGGTAATCATTAAATCAATAATGTTAAAATAGAAGATCAACAGAAATATTTTAAACATTTCTTTTTAAGTGGTCTTTGTACACTTAATTTTAGAGTCCCTGATAATATTTACTTATGATAAGAAACAATATTAGCAGTAAAAGCACAGCACAAGATTTTCTTGACTTACAAAATTTTTATTTTTAACATTTGCTTTATTTCCAAACAATCAACAATCTCATTACTTGCAAGAAAAACAAAACTTGTAAAATACAGCAAACATAGAATGGTCCCCTGCACCAAAACTTGGAACTCTGATAACAATTAATTTACTGAAAGCAAATTATTTTTGTAACATGATTTTTTTAGATAACCCTACTCAATAAAAGCAACAAACATTTACAAAAATATCTGAAAAATCCCTAACAGTTTTATAATGATTTTATTATTTTATAAAACTAATTGTGTTTGAATATCACATTTTCCTTGTGTTATACCAGATTCATTCTTGCTCTAATATAAAGCAGAATATTTTTGAATTTAACAATCAAAGATATGCAACTAAAAATTTTGTTAGATACAAGAAGCAATTAAACTTTTAAGTGGGTGAAAGATTTTTTATGGATGCACTGTCCAGTTCAATAAACACAAAGTATATTTTTAGTATATTCCAATTCTTCATAAAGAAATATTGTAACATTAGATTGAAGGAAAAGTTTGTAGCCAAGTACACGTTTTTGTTACTTTCTAAAATCCATACCAACAGACCATTTCAAGCAATAAAAATGACCAGTTTCCTTCCCATGATAAGGATGTTGTCTATTTTCTTGGTTGGTGAATGATTGTTGGTTTATTGGACATACGAACATCTTTGGTAGGAGTGGGCTTCTCATGAAATGCTTTGACTGCTTCAGCAGGGAAGTCAGCATCACCCTAGCAAAATAATGTTTATGTCCAAGAGTTATTTCCTTTATTTTTTAACATTAAGCACAGTATTTGTAACTGAATAGGACTTCTTAGAATCTCTGAAAAGTTTATCCATGGCAATCCTTGGGCCATATTATATTTTGATCTAGAAATTCCTCAGTAATATTCTAATAAAAATTAAAAATTTAAGGTTTAACAACAAGTACTATTCTCCCCAAACCAACCTAAACTTTCAGCAGATTATATAATAGGCATTACTAACTAAGTTTCTTTTAAATATAATTTAATATTGAAAGGCTTAACAATGAATAAATAATTTTCTATGACACACACACACACACACACATTATCAAATGAATTAGTATTTGTACACAGGTTTTTTTAATAATGAGTAATAAAAATAGTGAATCTGACTTGTGAAGGAAAAATGTTTATTAACTGCCCGAGAAAAAGAAAACTGTCAATTTTAATCTTCATATTGAATACTAATTAAGATATATTTTCAGTTTACAATTTAATCAGAAACATATGTACTTTAATTCTAATCTTTTGTGGATAAAGTTTATGGTTAATTTATACAAGTTAGTAAACTGTGATAAAACAGGTTAAATATGACATTTCAAGCAATATCAAAAGTATTCTCCTTGCAAGTTATGAGTATTATTTTCATGTATTTCACACCTTTCTCAAAGTTCATATTTTCCTGATGCATGCATGAAATCAAATCAAATTTCAAAAACTTTTCATGGTTTGACACCTCATTTCAACTTCCATACATCCTAGTTTTTAGTTTCTGTTATACCACCAAGTAGAGCTTTATAATATTGACCAAGTTATTTTACTTTTTCCAAACTTACACTATAGATTTTTATACTTACACTTTAAATTAAAAGTTCAATTTTAATATTACAATATTTACAGTTTGAAATGTGTATTATCAAATCAACTACAACAGTATTAAACCGTGTTTCAGGAGTTAATAAAAAGCAATCTTGCACATAAAGTATATTACCGAGGAAGACATATCGAAACTTACCCGGGCAAGAGCACCAGATATCAAAATCTGCTGCTTTGGAGGACTGGAAAAAAAAATGTTAAAAAACATTAGTTTTAATCTAACTAAACAAATGAATAAAAAAGTAGTAGAAATATTACTTTAAACCTCAGTATAGTACCATTGATACTTTAAAATACATAAATAACAGTTAAAAAAAAAGAAACGTAACTGAATAATTTAGTATGTTACATATATATTTATATACACATGTATCAGGAATGGCCTTGGTAAACAGTGTACCCCATTGAAAATAAAAAACATGCTTAGTTTCCACAATATTCAGATCACAATATTATATTATGTAACTTCACTATTAATAATATTTTAAAAATTTTCATTGTATAGATTTTGATATTGAATAAGGGATGATTAAAAAAAACTTGAGAATCGTAATCAGGTTCAGATTTACCTTTAT